CCTTCACCACCGACATTGCCACCACCGACTGGTTGGACAACTCGACTCATCAAACTTACCAAGCTTGGTTTTCTCGCTTGGTCTTGTTGTCAGAGAAAATCTTCGTCAATACGGCTTCGTTTTGGATGTCTAACTTGTTCAACGACCTATCAATTCGGTGTATGTCCGGGGGTACTAGTATCACAGCCTCCTTGTGCCACGCCCCACACGCATATTGGTAAAAGTCGTCGCAGGGGTTGATGGAGTAGCCGTTGAACTTGGTCACAGACTCGACGAGTTCCGTGACGGAGCCAGCCGTAGCTGCACAGGCGAACACGCTGAGGGAGATGAGGACTTTGACCATCGTAGAGTGAAAAGGAAAATGAAGTTGGCCAAAAATATCAACCATTGAAGCAAAGTCTCCGATCAGGATTGGGATTGACTAATGGGATGTCGTGTACGGATGTCATCCGGACTCCGTTACAACATTGATAACATACACCGAATTGATACGTTGTTCAACAAGATAAATTTAGCCATCCAAAACGAAGGCGTATTGACGATTTTCTCTGACAACAAGACCAAGCTTGGTAAGTTTGGTGAGTTTTACAACTCCTGTTTGGACACGGCTACGCTGGCGAATTGGCCAAGAGCGGCATCCCTGCCTTTGTGGACATCAACTCGAGCTTTGATGACAACGACTTGACCAAGAACGCCTCTTCGGTTTCCAAACCCACCTGCCGCTGCGTTGCTCATACTACACCACCTCTTCCGAGTGGAAGTACGTCGAATCCGACTACAAGGTTCACATTGTATCGATGTTGCAGCTAGCCGGCTACACTGCTGAGAAAGTGGCCGCTGCCGTGCCGGTGATCACGAGTTTCGAGCACACTCTGGCCGGTGTCGACCTCATCAAGCTAGGGACTGTTGACTCTCCGTATACTCAGTTTACGTACAGCCACTGGACCAGAAGTACCCGCTGCTTGTCGGCTCGTGGCTCAAGCCCAACGCCTTCGACATCTACGACCAGTGGTGTGGGTCGAACGACTGGGTGGGGCTTAACTACTTGACCTAGTTTGACAAGACCGAAGTGTTGTTGAAGAACACTACACTGGACAATCTCAGCACCATCGTGGAGTACAAGCTCATCCACCCTCTTCTACACACTTGACCCCTGAATTCCGCACGGCCAACTGGGATTTCTTCGGCAAAGAGATCAATGGCGAAAAGGTGGAACCTACTCGTCAAAAGTTCTGCTTGTCTGAGACGCACTCCACCATGGATGATCTCTTGGAACAGTATTTCATATACGAGTAGTTCTCGGCTAGTAAACTTTACGGCCAAGACAGCAGACAAACTGGTCAAGGCCTTGAAGTCGTCCTTCCACCGCCATTGCCACTGCCGACTGGTTGGACCACTCGAGCCGCGCCAACGTGCAAACGAAGCTGTCCAAGATGTTACACTTGTTGGGTGGCCCGGAGAAGCCACAGCTGCACCCCACGCTAACGCTGGACTCGAAGTCATATTAACAACCGGTGGAAGATGTCTCAAGTGAAAATCGACATCAACTTGAAGCTGAACAGCCAATCTGTGGACAGGTACAAGTTCGGCAAGGCCACCCATGAGGCGACCGCGTTATACAGACCCCACGAGAACAAAATTATACTCCCGGTCGGCATTTTGCAAAAACCATTCTTTGACGCCCAGTTTGACGCCACCCAGAGCTTTGGTGCCATCGGGATGGTCATCGGACACGAAATTACCCACGGGTTCGACAACAGCGGCCGTTATTGCGATTGCGACGGCAAAATTGAAACAGTGGTGATCGAGCGCCTCCAGCGCTTCGTTCAACACGAAAGTCCAGTGCATTAGGGACCAGTACGACAACGTTGTCGTCAAGAGCGAAGTGACTGACACTGTATTGGGCAAGGTCAGCGGCGAGACCTCTTTGGGTGAAAACATTGCGGACAACGGGGGGCTCAAGTCCAGTTTCCGTGCGTACCGCGAGTACTTGAAGGAGTTCCCGTCCCAGAACACGGAAGAAGCAGGCGT